AGAGCAGGGTTTAGGGCTGTTGTACATAGGGGTCGCTATGAGCTGCAAATGACTCGACGGTACATAACAACAACAATACTGAGAAGTATGCATAGTTTTAAAGGAATGGACTAGCTTTCTGGGTAGACTATACTTTTTACACCTTGTATACATGAAGTCAGTATTCACCAATACATATTTAAAAGGAAGATGGAAAGGGAAGAAAATCTATTTATTAAAATATTAAATACACTTTGTGTAGTAACAATTCCATTGACTAACAAGGCAATCCTACGAGATGTGTTCAAATTACAGTGTTCTTGTTGTTAGGTACCACTGAGTCAGAACTGACTCATAGCTGATGCTTCTGCAGATGTTCAGAGGCAGTAAATTACAGAGGAAGAGACTGCTCTGTAAATTACAAAGGAGAAGACTGCCTATCTTTCTCCCATTGAGCAGCTGGTGGATTCAAAGTGCATGCTTTTGGGCTGGCAGTGTTACACTTTACCACTAAGCCACCAGAGCTCCCTGGTCAACTGCTGTGTTGTTATGTGCCATCGAGTCACTTGTGACTCATAGCGATAGCGACACTATGAACAAGAGCCCTAAACGCCGTTCTATCATGTGCCAACCTCGCCATCTCAAATGCACTCATTGCCACCACGCCAGTCACAGAATCGATCCATCTCATTGAAGGTCTTCTTCTCCTGTGCCGTCCCTGTACTCTGCCAAACATGATGTCCCTCTCCAAGGACCAGTCCCTCCTTGCAACAGGCCCAAAGTATGTCAGACGAAGCTTCAGAAAGTAGTCAAAGATGATGGGGAAACTCTTTAACAAAAAGTCAGTTCATAAATGGTAAAGCTTGAATTTGAATGCCTCACTATAGACTCTAAATGGCCCACAATCGTGGAACCTGGCCTATAATTTCACAGAGGACAAGAGGTCATATCACTTATATATTCTGTGATAGTGCTTCCTTATAAAGTGAAAATACTCTCATTTTCAATATGTTTATCCCATGCCAGTCATTAAAAAGCAAAAAGCTACATAACAAAATAAGTTTCAGTTGATTTTTATTTCTTTAGAGGGAAAAGTGACCTCTATTACAAGCACTTTTGCCCTTTAAATCTGGAGCTTTAGCAAGTACAAAGATGCAAGAGGACAGCATTAAGAAAACAAGCTGGCAGCTTCATATTCTAATAGATGTCAATTCACAAGTTTGCAGTTCTTTTTCCTATAGGGACTAACATTATCAGCATGTATTTATGTATGTTGTTGTTGTTGTTGTTATGTGCCGTCGAGTCGTTTGCGACTCATAGCGACCCTATGTACAACACCCCTAAACCCTGCTCTAT